AGACTCTGGCACAGGATCGGGAACGTTGGAAGCACTGCCTGACGTGTCTGCCTCCGCGACCCGAAAGGAGCAGCGGCGATGGAAGATGAAGATGAACCTTACTCAACTGTCCTTTTCCATAAAAACTTAAGTGAAAAGTTACAAAGGTTATTGAACAGTAACCTTTAATATCAACGTCGTTTATAAAAGTTCTATCAAACTAAAAACTTCATTAGGAACTTCTGATAATAGTAATTTGGTAGACTGGGTTTAGAGACTACCATATGATTGCTGCGGATACATTACATAAGGGACACAATACACTGGAGACATTATTATATTTACATAGGAGACAGAGGGGACACGGGGGTATTACATATTAAACGCATAGACATTATATGTGAACATAGGAGACACAGATAACACCATCATTCAAAGAAAGAAAACCCACCTGTCAAACTGGAGAACTTGGTTGATCGCGAACGAGCATGAGCGAATCATGGTAACGAAACGCCTGGGAAAAAACAAAGCCTCGCTCCAAACCTACTCAAGGAACAATGCGAAAAGACATTCGGGATTGTGCAGCATACGGCATTTAGAGGACACCTCCCTTGATGGTCAGAGTGAACCGATATCATCTGAGGAAGAAACTGGCTGCACAGGGGCGTCAGAGAGGCTTAATCATCTAATCCTGCGACAACTTCAACCGTGGCAAATGGTACGAGCTCTATACTGATTGGATAAGACGTCGTGCCTAGTGCAGAAAAACAACTAAAGCAGAAGCGCTGATCAATAGCTCGCTTTCTGGCCACGGACGTTAGAACAGCGGCAAACCAAAGATATAACATTCAAAATGAAGGCTTTCTACTTGAAGAAGGTTGGTGAGACAGGAGCGGAACCGTCGGTATTGGCAATCAACTGACTGACCATGGTGTTTGCGTCGTGTATAAATAAACCCTCCCTTTATGCTATTTTCAGCGATAAAAATTAGTGCGCTGAACTACATCTAAGGAATTTTTACATTAAAATAGAAAAAAGAAAGGAAAAAAAAACGAAATTCCAATCAGTCATATGTGATGAGTAGCAGTGGAGCCACTGTAATGATTAATTATTCAAATCACAGTACTACTAAAGACATTCATATCCATGTAGCCTGGAGAATGTAGGTTGATGAAGAATAATTACAAAAAATAACAGAAATGATACACAGTACTAACAGAACCAGCACTAGTTGCATAAAAACTTTTATCACAAACAAATAAAAGATAATTTTATGTTTACTGTTCTTAAATTCTTTAACCAAAATAAAAAAATTGAATAATTTTGACTAATGATTGATCACTGGTGTGAGCAAGTCAGTTACGTCAAAGATTTAAACACTTACGTCATAATTTGATCTGGATCCGTTTGCTGTAAACGCTTGCCGACGGAACATCCAAAAAAATACAAGGCAAAGAGAGGAGCAACACCAGTGAGAGGAGCAGCCATGCCTTTGTAGAGTGCAAAGAAACCCTGAATACTGGTTGATTAGTGAAACTCGAAAAAACTGTGAACCTCATTGACGACGGTTTTCCGCAGGCAGTCGTAAGTACCCTTGAAAACGGCTATGTCTCCTAAAGGGGTGTGTGTTGCAGTCTGAACTCTGACTTTAATTGTGTCAAATGGATGGCCTGATAAGACGCAGAATACACCGCCAACTCCACCAGCAATAAAGTTCCTAAGAGAATTCGTTCTCTGATGTTCACTCAGTTCTTCGGAACGAGAGTTATCCATGAATAAGACAGCGAAATTAATTTCACTGAAAAAACAAAGCACATGAAACATGACTGAGTTGGCAATTTCCAAACAGCATTACGTAACCGGAAGTACCGGCAGCACGAGATTGCTACCCAAAGCCGGAGGAAAATTTATTTGTTTTGTTAAAAAGTAAATAAAATCAGAATGATTTCAGCTTGTGCTGCTCTCTGCGGTTCTGTTGCTCAGCACGAAGTCTCGAAGCCAATCGTTTAAGCTCCGTCAATTGTTTCATCGTTTCCTGTAGTTTAGCTGTGATTCTGCTGGTCACTGCTCTGTCATGGCGGTCTTCGCTGCGACGCAAAGATTGCCTTAAACTTTCAACACGCTTTGACGCTTCTTTTATAGACTCTTCTGTATTCAGCAACTAAAAAACAACTTCCCACTACAAAATCGAATGCCGATCACGTGTACACTTTAACGGGAAGTTCAGCAGCTATATTGCAATAAAAATTTCAATAAATAGATTCTCATTATGGACAATACTTTGACACTAAAACTGCGACAAATTAAGGTCATTTAAAAGACGCCCGCTATCGTAAATGCAGAAAATACAAATCTTATTCATTCGACAGGATTTTATTTGTTATATTTACCTACCTCAAACGAAAAGAAAACGGCAGTGATACTAAAATTGCGTAAACGCAGAGAACTTTCTTATACATACTCTAAAATATCAAAGTTGCATGGACTGCAGTTGCTCTGACAAATCATAAGTCAAACTAAGCAGTAGACAATTACACTTTGGCATGATACAGTTAACCGATATTGACTATGCAGATATGGAAAAACCACCTGTCATGAAATATTTGATGCCTGATAAAATAAGCTGTTGTGCGAAAACCAAGTTACAGCATCGATTAATCGTCAGAAATATCAATTTATCAGAAATGAAAAAGTTTGAACGAATAATAGATTCGCTAGCTGTTGAAACTGAAATTATCTAATAAACATTTTAGCACAGTGGGTTAAATGTGGAGGAAATGACGCAATCATGGTTTTCAACAAAAGCAAAAACCAAACCTGAACGTTAAGCGTTTTTGCCGAACTAGGCTGGGACGCAACCGTCTTCAACGAACCCTCTTCTTTAGCCACTTCTAAAAATGTTCAATAAAATACGGTCAACAAACTATCATATTACTCTTACGGTTAACTACATCGTTGATGAAATCAAACATATTGTTATTTGCTGGCTTGAAATATCCGCGGGATGCTTTTTGCTCTTTCAGCTTTTCTTTGCGCTTCTGAACTTTCAGCCGTAACAACGAGTGCTTGTTCTCGCGTTTTAACTTCGTTTCCAAGCAAACGTCGAGGGATTTTCCTAAGTACGCAGTGGCATATTTTTCAAAATAACAGCTTCTTCAAAACTATCTATCTGACTAAACTATCTGAGAATTATAGCAGGAATAACTAGTACAATATTGTACAAATTGCATTTTAACACACTAACATGGCTTAAAATAAATCAATAATAGTTTTAGAGGAAATTATCAGCCCAAATATCATCAATATACTCATACATATGGTACATGACACGGTCGTGCCGGGAAATTCTGTGCATGGAGCTTGTTCGTTTGGTCCAAGG